TGGCGGCCGGCGTCTCTTTCTCCGCCCGCCCGCGCGGGGCCCAGACCGGCGAAAAGTAGCCGAGGGCGGTACCGCGGGTGCCGCGTTCAGGCCGAGGCCTAACCCCTGTCCGTTCTTACTGTTCCCAGGTGTTCAAGCGCTTCGTTGAGATTGGCAGAGTTGCCTTCATTTCTTTCGGGCCGCATGCTGGCAAGCTGGTGGCCATTGTGGATGTTATTGACCAAAACAGGGTAAGTTGTGAGTGCTGTACCTTTATTTTCAACTCTGTGCTTTTACACTGAGAGGATATCAATCCTAAAGGAGATTTTGTGACTAGGTTTTGCAGAGAAATAAGCAATTTACAGAAAGATGGGATTGAACACTTTTTTTAATTTAAAACTTTAAGTAGCAAGCCTTTTTCATTGGCAGGGGATATAGTTTCCTTTTTGCTGTCTTTCCTAGGGGTAGAAGTGGGCAAGTGATGTCAACTGGAGTATAAAATTTATTAATGGAATGGCATTAACGTACGTTGAAAGCAAACGTTTGCGCTAGGGGACTCCCTTTTGCTTAATGTTCCCGAAAAAGCAGGAGAAAAAAGGAAAAAAAAATTATCTAGTCTTGGTTCTGTGTGATGATTTAAGTTCAGTTTGGTGTTTTTTTCCCAGAGATAAAGATGGGCCTTTAAAATTGTTTCTATAAAGCTTGAGTTGTATATGCAAGACTTAACAACCTCAGGTCTTGTCTGCATAACATTTACTTCAGTTTTGGACTGATGTTTTTAAGATGTTGTTCATAAATTATTAGGAAGCTGCTGTCTAAATCAGATACTATGGGAAAACTGCGAGAAAATGCCCACATTAGTTTTTCTTTTTTCAGGCACTAGTTGATGGCCCCTGCAGTGGTGTCAGGAGGCAGGCTATGCCCTTCAAGTGCATGCAGTTGACTGATTTTGTTCTCAAGTTTCCACACAGGTGAGTTGTTGGCATTTTTTTGACCTGTGTAAAAACCCCGTGTTGTCACTTGATGGCTGATGTCACTCAATCTGATGCTTGCTATATCTAGAAAATTCAGACAACATTAAGTAAATGGATTAGCATGTGTGCACTGTCAAGATTTGGCAGTATTGTTACCAGCATTGGCTGATGAGCACTGTTGAGGAGCAAAGGAAATGACACAACTTGCAGATAGTTGTGGGGTGGATGGTATGGGGGGAAGCAGTGGTAGCAGCTTTGCTTTTGCTGCTGCTTAGGTCACTTTCAGACATTAAATACATTTCCTGCCTGCAGAGTGACACTGGAATGGCAGGAGGCTGAACTCTTTCTATTCTGTTTAGCTTAGTTGCTCCATGAACTTAAGTAATTTAGAAACACAGATTGCTACCTTTCTGATTCTGAACCAGTGCTAGGAGTCGTGTGCCTCTTGAGTCACTCATCTGTCAAGTCCTAGCAAAGCATTTACCCAACAAAATGTAAATTAGGCCACAGAGATATATGTGGCATTGACTTTAAGTGTCTGAAGTAATGTAGAAGGGGGATCCTCCCTTGTTTGAAATTTGGGCCAGCATTCGAGTGAACCTTTTTTTGTAGAGATTGTGAATATAATTTTGTGACTGTTCTGATGCAGTGCTCGTCAGAAATGTGTGCGACTTGCCTGGGAGAAGGAAAATATAAACGAAAAATGGGCAGCAACAAGGTGGGCAAAGAAGATTGCAGCCCGAGAAAAGGTACGTTTGTTTGCTTCACTGAGTGAGATATGTCCTGTTCCTGCTTAGTAACATCAGGTGCAATCTAATAAAATGTATGTTTTCAGTTGCAGGCTAAGATTAAAGATGGACAAGCCATAGATTTCTAAAACTTGCTACCTATCAGTTTCAGCTTCCTGTATTTTAACAGTAAAGGTTGTTTGGGCTGTAACCCAAACATGTGCTCTTTTCATGTGCTATCAATTCCCAGCAAAGGCCTTAAGTAGCTAATTCCAGTTGTACAGATAAATCTAACTGGGAGATAATCAAAAGATACTTGTGAGAGGCTTTGAAACACTGGCTTTTACTACTTGTGTACATATATATATATATATATAGACACAGACACAAAGAGCTTCATGACTGATTCTTTTCAAACAGAAAGCCAAAATGACTGACTTTGATCGCTACAAGGTTATGAAAGCAAAGAAGATGGTGAGTGTTGCTTTTTTGTGGGGTTAATGCTTGTAGCTTTCTCTTCAGAGTTGATAAACAGGTGGTAAGGGTTATGGAGTACCACAAAGTATGTGAATACCTTGAATTTTTCATGCTTCTTTGGTTGCCAGTTTCTCTTCAGTAGTTGATCAGACTTGAACCCACATCACCTCTGTCAGTCCTCCAAGTTCCAGCTGAGGAGGGAATTACCCACTGATGAAACTGGGTGTTCTTGATGGGTTGCTGTTAATATTTCAGTCTATAATGAAAGTCATGAAATGTGGAGGTGTCCAAGTTACCCACCAGAATGTTGTCCACTTGGTAGGTCATTCCACCATTGCTAGGTCGAATTTGATATTTTAAAGGTAATGCATGATAAACTTTTTTACTATATAATTAAATGGTTAGCAAAGGGTGATTACCAAAAAGGGCAAAACCTGAAAGCTTAGATTTTAAATTAAGGCATCATATTTGAACTGTTGCTGTGTTCATTTTAATGAATAAACATTTTCATTTCTTTTACAGAGAAACAGGATCATCAAGCATGAAATGAAGAAGCTCCAGAAGATGATGTCTTCTAAAAAAGGCAAGAAGCCAGAGAAACCAGGGAAGGCAAAGAAGTCGGAGAAGGTGCAGAAGACACAGAAATAAAGTGAACTTCTAGCTATGTATGACTTTGTGTCCTTGTTCTGATTCTTTAAAATCAACAAATGGTTAAACTTCTGATTTAAATATCATAAGTTCACTTTTGCTTCTGACCAAGAGTTGTTGTCTGTCTCGTTTATTAATGTCCAAGTGTTGGGTTTTAGTGTTTCCAAGAAATAAGCAAAAATGTTTTTGTCATGTTGTGTGAAGTTGATGAAGAAACTGTGCATAGTACACTAAACCCTGTGCCAGCTGGAATATTTGCACACCCCGTTCTGTGAAGTAGGTCACATCCTGATGTTTTAAAGGAGTCTGCTATTGAAATGGTTGGGAATGAACAAGATTACTTGTGTGATCTTGAGTGTGAAAAATGAGAAATAATCAATTACACTGATTTTTTTTCCTTGTAAATTAAGGTATAAACTGAAATTGTGTTCTGGTTAGATAATGTCAGTGTTTGGAAGATTGACAGATTGCTGTACAAACCATTCTTTTAAGTAGTGACCTCAGATACTTAGTTCACAGGTCTAAAACCATAGTTGTCCTGTAAGTGCAGTTAGAATAATTAGAGATGTAGTAACAAGATGGAAATTAATGACTTGGTTTAAGCATGTTTGCTTTTCAGAATGTTTACAGTTAAGTTTATGTCAAGATCTGAGTATTTACAGTTCCGTAAACTACATGGCATGTAATTCCTGCTTTTGAATCAAAACCGTTAAGTTAAAAGGGAGCATAACCTAAAAATTACACAATCCATCTGGAGCACTATAGTGCTTGATTTAGTCTCTGCACTATAAAACAATGTTTACATCTGTCTCAGCACCCATCCTTCCCTGTGTTTTCTCCTGTGTAGTTTGTTGGCAGGGGATGTATTTTCTTCCTATTGAATTAAGGAAGTCTGAGATACCTGGACATTGAAAAACATCATTTTTACAGTTCAATATGAAATGGAGGGAGAATATATATTTTTTTTTTAACAAAGGTGGTAAAACTTTAAAATTTATTGTCAAATAGATACTTGAATATTTGTCAAATACACTGATAAGCATGTGCTTTTAAGTAGTTTTGTGCTAGCATTGTTTATTCCAGTTCAGAATTAGGCACCTGCATGCTCAAACACTGTACACTGTTGTCTTGAGCTAATTATTTGCCCTTGGAAATTTAATTCCAGCACATGTGTATGGATGCAACACCTAAGGAAAAAAAA